TTGAGTATTTGACTGAAACTCAAATAAAAGTTTGAAACTACCCATGGCCAAAGGACCTGAATAGCTGGAGTGAATGGAGTGACCTTTTTTTTTCATGAGTTTCATATTTTGAGCTGTTTAGCACCTTCTCTTTTTGGGGAACAGTGCTATGTTTTGTGCAGAGTGCAGGAGATACTGATTTGAATAAGTGACACATCCAGTGCAATATATTGAACTGGACTTCTCTCCCTTCATAAACAAGTGCACCAAAAGCACTGGGAAATGGTCTCTCAGTAAAGTCTGGTTCTTCCTAATGTGTATGCAAATGTGAGGGAAACAGTGAAAATAAGTTGCATTAAAAATCTACCTCCACATTTTCTCTCCTGAGCTTCACTAGCAAATAAGGCATCTTTACATTTTCTAAAAAAATAAAAATGCAGATTGGATCAAAAGAATGATGGAGGGGGGGCATTTAGAATTGTAAACTAACATCAGTTAAAAAAGATAAATTAATTCTAACTTTTCAGTCAATTTTTTAATGCCAACCAATATTTCAGACATAAACATATGTCAGTGGCTCTCTAGATGTAAGTCTAAAATACAGACACCTGGTCTCAGTGGGCTAATCTGGACTGCCAGAGCTGATCACTTCTGTTCCCAGTGAATTTAGCAGGTAGAGCAGGGTTGCCCTGAAAGGTAATACAAGAAGTTTCTGCTGAGCAGACACTCATCTGGTATCAGTCCTTTGCTTGCGAGCACACGAGAGTATGAAATCACCACCGTGACAGTTTGTGCATGAACAGATAAAGCATTGGGCCCAGCATGAGACCCTCCTCTCTGGGGACAGGCTGAGAGAATTGGGGGTGCTCAGCCTGGAGAAGAGAAGGCTCCAAAGTGACCTTATTTCTGCCTTCCAGTATCTAAAGGGGGTCCACCAGAAAGCTGGAGGGGGACTTTGGGTGAGGGCATGTAGTGACAGGACAAGGGGCAATGGATTAAAGTTGAGGAAGGGTAAATTTAGGTTAGATATTAAGAAGAAATTATTTATTATGAGATGCTGGAACTATTTGTCTAGATAAATTGTGGATGCCCCATCCCTGGAAGTATCTGAGACGAGGCTGGATGGGACTGGAAGCAACCTGGTCTAGGGGAAGGTGTCCCTGTCCATGGCAGGCAGGTTATATCTAGATGTCCTTTAAGGTCCCTTGAAACCCAAATCATTCTATAATGACCCTTGGATTTAGAAAGAGGGCTTGCTGACCTCCAGAACACATCAAATCTTGTCTTGAATTTAGGGCTTACGTGTCATGGGCAGAGTAAAATTGACTCTACATGAATAGCTACATCTGGGTTTCTAGAAAAATGCCATATTTCAGGCATTAAGATTTATGCAACATTAGCAGGTCAGCTTCTTGCATTACTCTCTTGGACATAAAGAAAGGCATCGCATTTGAATTTTGCCAGTCAGTTTTTCCAAAATTTTTGCTCCAAATGCATTTGAAACAAACAAAAAAATAATAGAGCTCTTGACCCTTTCTTGTGCTTTTCTATTCCAGTGACAAAAAAATTTTATTAAATAAAACCAACTCAATCAGGTTTTGATAAAAGTATCTCCACAACTGAATGTTTGCACTTTAATAATGGTGTATAAGTCCCCTCATGTCATGTTTATGTTTGCAACATTCTCAAAAGCACTGGCAAGACCGCTTATCGTACAGTTACGTTTGTATCATTGACAGGACACGAGTGTCCCTGTGATGTGGTTGAGATATGATTTGTGCCAGATGTGATTTCATATGAAATATTTGTACAGAATCACATCTGTCAGTATATTCTACAGCTACACAATTTCTAACTATCTATGTCAACAAAATCCACTTCATAATATAACTTTCAGGCAGTTTTCAAGCTTAAGAAGAATTACTGTCTAGCATAAGCACTTAAGTGAATAATTTGTATGCAGTTAAAAACAGATTCTCTGGAGGCAGACGTGATTTACTCCTAAAGTAGAAGTTGAGAAACATTAGTGAGGAAAGATAGTGTTTTTATCTATAACTGCAATCCCACCATGATACAAAAGTACTCTTCTGGGACAGCTTACAATTTAAACCCACAGATTTCTTTGCTTTCATATTCGTAAATTTCCTCTTTCTTTTTAGTATCTTTGGAAGACTAAATGAAAAAAAAAAAAAAAAAAAAAAAAAAAAAAAAAGAGATGTTTGACTGACATGATGATCCCTGCTAATTTAAATGTGACATTTTGGTTTCTCCTGGGTTAGTGTAAAACCCATCCTGGCATCATTGAGACTGAAACAATTTTTTTAAGTGGGAAAATATATTCTTTGTAAAACTAAACTTACCAGCTATACTCTAAATATTTTGGTTACTTTGAAGATTGCACTAGTGTGAAAGATACAGAAGAAAGACTTTGACCTGTTGGAACAAGTCCAGAGAACCACTAAGATGATCAGAGGACTGGAGCACCTCTTGTAAGAGGCAGACTGAGAAAGCCAGGGTTGTAGAGCCTGGGGAAGAGAAGGCTCTGGGGAAGCCTGATTGCAGCCTTCCAGTACTTAAAGGGGACCTACAGGAGAGCTGGAGAAGGACTTTGTAGAACATCATGTAGTGACAGGAGAAGGGGGAATGGCCTTAAACTGAAGGAGGGTAAATTTAGATTAGGTGTTAGGAAGAAACTCTTTACTGTGAGGGTGGCAAGGCACTGGAACAGGTTGCCCAGACATGTGAATTCATTAAACCTGAAAGTGTTCAAGATCAGACTGGCTGGGGCTCTGAATAACATCATCAAGTGGAAGGTGTTCTTGCCCTTGGCAGGGGAGTTGGAACTAAATAATCCTTAAGAATCCTCCCAACTCTAAATATTCTATGATTCTGTGATTCCATTCTATGATTTTCCATATATCACTGGGTAATTTCATTAAAGACAATAAAATATTTCAAAGCAATGGGAGAAAAAAATTGTTAAGAGCTGTAAAGATGGCCATGCTCTTGGCTGACACAAATCAGAGTGCAAACAATGACACCAGTGTAGCTTCGTTGTTTGTTTTTTTTTGCAGTTAGATATCTCAGAGAATAATAACAGGGAGTAGCTTGTGGCAATTTCCTGTATATGGTGTACATAAAGAATTACCATAATTGTGCCTGTCTGCTTAAAGTAATTTACCTTGCATTCTCTTATTTTCTTCCAACTTTGATCTGTTCCCAGTTTGTGGGGGGTTTTATTTAGTTTGGGGGAGGACTGTTGTGCAGGGGGTGTGGCTTTTCTTTCATGTTCCTCTCTAATCTGCAGCATAGGCATTTGCAAAAGTGCATCTTTTTCTGGTTTCATATCTCCTTAAAACATGGTATGACAATGCTTGGGCTCTCCTTCACTGCAGTGACAGAGAACCAGGAAAACCACTTTTGATATTAATTTTCCAGGAGTTGACGTCTGCTAAAATATATGGTTCCTGTCCAAGTGTTCCCTTTCAGCAATAGGGTGGAACAAAATCTGTATTTTGTAAAATGAACTCTAGAGATGCCTCAGTTTACATTTTACCATAGGCATGATGATGTTAGCTAAACACAGCAATGAAGTTAAAAAATGCAGTGAGCTTCCACAAAACCCCACGGGATTAGATTTTCAGCTGAGACATCAGCGAAAACACATTTAAAGTCTAATTACCTGAGTTTCTAGGTTGATGTAGGTGATGCAAAATAATAGTGCAATTCTGTATGACAAGAATATCACAAAATAATGATAGCTGAGATTGCTGAGTTTATATTTGCCTCCTTAATATCAACAAAGCATGAAAGCTGTTGTGTCAATAATGTAAGATGATTACGTTATCTCCTTCTGAAGTTATTAATCTTTGTTGCAGTGTGCCTAGTTAAATCAGTCAACACAATCTTTTCACTGAAAGAATTTTTTTACAAAAAAAAAAAAAAAAAAAGTCTGGTAATGCACATTGACAAATCATTTTTCCATTTAAGATAATGCAATTAAAGTTGATTTCCCAGTAAATTATCCTTCTTTTCAAAAATGAGCAAGAAAAGCCCTGCAGGTTCAAATTTTAATTATTTAAATGCTTATAAAATATACAGCTTGTGAGGTCTGGATGAGCAAATAAATTGAGGGAATGCTGAGCCCAGGTATTTCAAAACTCTTAAGCATTTAGAGTAATTACTAGTTAAACCTGGAAAGCCCTTATAAAAAGGTAAGACATGCCAGAGGGAGTTGTCAGAAACAAGGAATCATCATCTAATTTTATTACTTATATATTTCATTAATAAAAAACTATGGGGAAAATGCATTTAAAGCCACATTTGAGATTGTTGATTCTGTAAGGTGATGAGGAATTCTGTAAGATAATCAGGAACAAGTTTATGCTGATATTAACACAGACAATTTTCATAATGGCTATTATGTTTTTAGATAGTTTTAGTGTATCAACACTGGCTTCATCAGTGGTACACAACTCATGTGCAAATCATTGCCTGAAAGCACAAATTCTTAGATGCAGTCAGTGAAAGTAACTCCTCTGAAGAATGGAGAACTTAAACTGAAATAACTGATAACTGATAAAGTTATTCCTGGATCTGGATCCAAGTATATTCCTTGCCTCCTTCCTACTTGCTATAAAGTCTAGGGTTTTTTCTGTCCCTATTTCTTTGCTCTCTACTACAGACATTCTTAAGCCCACCTTGGGGCTGCTTGAGTTTGAAACAGATGACTTAGATCTTCAACAAGCCTCCACACATCTCTCAAACTGATTCCTGAGCAGATAGTCTCCAAAGCTTGTCAGCAGTCCATCATATTTTCACTGTGATAGGACTTATTACTGTTGTACAAAGAGCTAAAGAAAGGAATTTTAACCTTGCTTTCACAGGCACAATAGGTGGAAAGATGCGATAGTGATATATGTAGGGGAATTCAGATAATTTGCTTAGAGGGGAATTCCCTGAATTTTACTTTTATCACCTAGGAATCAATCGGGTCTAAAACATAACTATAAAAAACATACCTTTTGTCTTGGTGCTTTACTGTGAGCATGACGTGGCTTGGCTTCAGGAAAGGGATCCCAGGTCTGGAGAAGCACCTTGGCCAAAGATGAGCCAGCTACAGGCTAAAACCCAAGATCTGAGGAAGGAGGCAGGCTGGACTTGAGAACGCCTCTGTGGAGACAGAGAGTTTTGGATCCAACAGAGGATTCCCAACCCCTGATCAGGGGAATGTCTATCACTGCACGTCTTGACATATCCCTCAGATTTGTGTGCACCTGGCAGTGCACATCAGTAGGTGTTGGTTTTGGTCCATGCCATGTGTTTTAACCCAGAATTAAAACAGACAATTGGATGATGAAAATTAAGCAGATGTGGAAAAAACCCAAACTAAATAAAGTTGGGGCTAGCTGATCAAGCTATTGTCTGAAGCTACAAAACTGTGTGCAGATAAACTTCAGAGCCTGGGACAGGAGTAGGTTCAGACCAGCACAGCATGTGGGCACCATGCATTTCTCCTGCTGTGCTGAGGCAGTGTTGGTACCTGCTGTGTTTGCTAGGGCTTTCTGTGGCAGTGCTGTGCTCCTGCTTTGATTGTACTATGCCACAGATCATGAAGTGGCACCATAAATAATACATCATAATAAAGTCACATGAAGGAAGGTACAGAATCAGTATCCTTGAATGCAATCTGGGTAAATTAATGGGGATTGTGTAGGAAATTACGAAAACCAAATTTTAGTAGCGCAGTGTAAATTGCCCAAGAGATTATTCTAGCTCTATTCTATGACATCCATGGACATCCATCATCATGGATATTAAATGTCAGCAGAAAGAAAATAAACTCTGATACAAAGCATGAAAACACAGTTCATTATGTTTAATATTCAAAAAGCAATTGACTGAATTCTGCTGTCAGTTACAATGGCAGGGTGTATAAAGGAGAGGGTGTGAAGTGCTGGCCATCTGCAACTTCATTTATGTGGAAAAACCTCTGCAAGAAATTTGCAGGGGTTAATTTCCCAAAATTGACCTAGTCTTTCCCATTTCTTCCTTGTCTAGTATATGTACCAAAATAACCATGTTTTGATATGTATCTTCTACACACAAAGTACACATGGAGTACTAATGAGTTTGTGTTCAGGATCCTCATCTGGGTGGAAGGGCCAAGAGTTAATCTGACATTACTCTTTCAGTAATTTGTAATGATGTTTCTACTTCCTAAGACAGGAATAATGACTGTGAAAGCATAGTAATGTATTTGGAAATGAAAACTTAAAAAAAATGAAGAAAACATACATGATATTCTCCAAAACTTCTCATTATTTAATTCTGTGTTAAAAGTTGTATTTATTTCTAAGAAATATCTTGTATTGCATCTGTAATGGATGCTAAGAGAGTAGAATCCACCCCTGAGAATTTGTCCTATCTACAGTTTGGTGTGCCCTGCCACTTAGCCCAAGTGCACCAAGGTACATGAAGAGATATCTTTGCTTAGCCTCCAGTGAAATTACATATTAATTTAAAACATGTAACCAAAGAAAAATAGTGTTCAATTACCATTAAAATTTCATGTTCTTGCATAAGCATTTCCTATCTCTACATTAAAATATATATAAGGACATGTCTATATGTGTATAATGCATTGTGTTCATGTATTTAAAGAACATTAAGTTCAGAGCTGGGGTTTATAAAAGACTTAAGTAACTCAAAAGCCTCCCTGTCATTGTTCTTTAAAAGCACTTTGAGACCTCAGTAATCTAGGTCCTCTGAAAAATTTGCCCTTCAGTCCCTTGTTAGAGTCCAGCAGTACAAGGTGTAGGGTTGTGGTTGGTGTTAGGAGCTCACCCCAAAGCTGGGCTTTGACAAGCTGCTTCCTGAAGCCAAAGCAGAACTGCCTTGTCTCCTCTTTGGAGTCACTCCATGTCCTTGATGTTGCATCCCTTCCTCTTTGTTAGGGTCCAGGAACTGGATTTGTATATGTACAAAGACAGCTGTACCATATATTGTGTTCTCTGCTGATTTTGAAGAGGTGTGGCTGAGAATTTAGAGACCTAAACAGCTAGTCTAGAAACAGTAGCCCTTTACTGTGAGCCTGCATCAAAGGCAGCCTTTAAAAGCAGTTTTCTACTATTACCTGTGTTCTTGGTTTATGTGGTTTCTTGTAGTTTTATTGTTGTTGTGCTTTGGGTTTTTTTTGATTTTGGTTTTTATTAACATGCTGAGGGTCTCTTAAAACTAATTCAAAAGAAATCAGCTTTTTTTTTTTTTTTTCTCGCCAATTAAATATTTTTATGTGACACTGAAACTAATTTTTTTTCAATACAAGTTTCTTTGAGTTCCTGAGATCCCAGCAGAGTTTCTGGAGTGAGAGGAGACACAAAGTCCATTTTCACATATAACTTGGAAATAACAAAATATAGAAGATCCATATTCATATTCTATGTCCTAGAAATCATTAACTACTCTCCAGCTGTAATATCTTAATTTTGGAGTTAGTTTGGTTTGGGTCCCATGATTTTTAAGGTCTCTGTTTTACTTTGAATGGGAAAGAAAGAAAAGCTTGTGGAACGTGAAACTGCTCTCTTCCTACTCCCCTGCATTTCTTAAAAGTGTCTTGTAGTAAGACAAGAAGACCAACCTTCCTGAAATTCAGCAGAGAGTATTTCAGCTGGGAGCTGAAACCCTCCAAATTCCTCACTGTATCATCAAAACTGGGATTTTCATCAGGATTTTGCTTGCAGAAGCACTGTGTATATGTGTCTTAGGTGGAGTTGAACCAACAGACAGGAGGGATTTTCCTTGAAGATCTGATTGCTCAAAATATCAACATGCACTGTATACATAATATTAATTAATAAATGTTGTTTAATCAGATATTTTCTTCAGAAAAAAAAAAGTGTGACCTCCCTTTTAATACGAAAGCAAGACTATGTGTAGAATATATAATGCATTATTACTGAAAAATACACTGGACCCTTAACTTGCTGTGACCTTTAACACAGGGTTGAAAGACAGTTCCATTTTCCTCTATCACAGGAATCTCCAGTGGCACGAATATCAGAATGTATCCAAGACAGATGAAATTAGAAATTGAGATACAGAATTCTAGATTTCCTCTGTGAGTTTACCCACTCAGGTATACTTAAATTTAGAAAATATTTTAATTTATATAGCCTTGATTCCTGTTCTTTCTTAACGAACAAGACCCATGACAAAAATAAAACAAAACGAAACAAAAAATCCCACAGAAAACCTCTCAAAACAACTCCAAAAACAAGTTAATATTCTTTCTGCAGAATCATTGCACACAGGTACAGCTCTATTCAAAATCTGCTCTTTGTCATCTAATAATTCTCAAAGCTCTGTTGCACCTTCTCTGCATCTGCATGAGTAGTTTGCCTTTAACCCAGAAAAACTGAAGGTCTCAGCCTGATTTCAGAGGTGTTCAGCTAATTGCTACAGAAAGATCAATGATTCAACCAGGAAGCTTCAGGTTCATAGTACTTGTAAATAACTTCAAAGTTACTCCTGGTGAAATACAAAAAGGTGGTATGTTTCTAGTCACCTTTTTGGCATTTTTTACTCCTTATTCAGAGAATCCAGCCAGGGTTTATCTTCACTTAACCTATAAATTGTTCACGAAAAAACAACCCAGCAAAATCCTACAGCACTGACTCCTCCCTTGTGATTGGCCTTGCCTTCCACTTTCCCCTTCTCTGAAAGAACATACATTTCTATATCTTCTGATTGAAGGTCCAAGGAACTCTTCACCAGTACTTTTCCCCATGAAATGCAGTGTTCAGGGTGCAGAATCTGAGATGTGAGGCCATATGACACATCCGATACAGAACAATTTACTCAGCTTCTTCTCAAGAAGAGCCACCATATGACCATAGTTTTGACTCAAAAAAAACCCCAACAAACTGAGTCAGTGGTGTTTAATCTTTGGTTTGCATCCAAAAAAGTAGAATAACAATTCCAGTAAAACTGTAGGCTTCTCAACAGTAAATTTAAGCTGATTGACTGGAGCTTCTTTTTCTACATTTTTTCTTTAAAATAAATCATGAACTTTCTGGGGCCAAAGAAAATGGTTTATAAATTAAAATCATGATCGAAACAAAGCATTGAACCTCAACTCTTTAAGGTTATGTGCAAAGAACTTTCTATCTTACTTTCTGACTGAGATGGTATTTTCACTTCAGTTTTAGTTTCCACTTATTTCCTTCTCAACTGAACAGTCTCCATTTCCTCTACCCCTTCCCTTGTTTCTATCTGCTTGCCTGGACTGGCCCACACATCACAAATATTTTCTGCACCCCTTTTCAAGCTGAATGTATGTAAGGAAAAAAAAAAAAAATGTTATTCTGCAGGTGTCACTCCTCTGCTGTCTTATCTGTTAGGGTGCAGTGAAACTTTGATACCTTGTGAAAAGTCAGATACTTTCCAACTGAGCCTGGTCACAGTGACTCCGGTGAATGCATCAGAGAAATGCAAGCTGTCAAATTTCTCTGTCAGCCCTGGAGGAGAGGAGCCCTTTCGCATCCCACAGGAGAATCTCAGAACTTACTTGGCTCTCCCAGAACACATGCAATGCTCAAGACAGGGTGTGGAAATACAGTGAAATGTAAAGAACAGTGAGAAAGCATGGATAAGTGTAAGAGACACTAGCATGAAGAAGTGGGATAGCAGAGATCTTATTCCTATTAAAGAAAAAGCATAATACTGTAAGTGTAAAAATCACAGTGTTGCTGTGTCCAAGAAACTGTAAAATAAATCATTCAGATGAAATATATAGCTATAAAGTCAAGGCATGGCATGAAAAGGTTGTGCCTCTTGTTTGAAGGGGAGACTCAATAGGAAGAAGGTTATGCAGGCTGGAAATTATAAGAAAATTTCTTTAGGTTGAGATTCATAAGGGTAGCACAAATGTTTCCCTTTCTTAGCTGAAGGACTTCTACAAGGAACACAGGATCTTCAGGGGATATAGGGTTCAATTTCCTTATTGAACTGGTGATGCACAGACTTAAGAAATTGTGTCTGTCATCTTTTGATGAGTCTAGCATCTCATCAAAACAGCAAAAACAGCAAAACAGCAAAAACCACCCTGATAATTTTTCTCCTGTTTATGATTTTGTGTAGTATATTAAATTTTCTTTGGGAAGAT